AAGGCACCTGTCTGATGACTGAGCCGGAGGGTCCGTGTCGGCACTGGGATAGACCAGCTCTCGTCTTGTCTAAATATGGCAATAGCTGCCATATGTCAGGTACTGAGTGAAGTCCAGTCTCCACTCCCTGGCTCCGAGACCAGCTCTCGTCTTGTCTAAATATGGCAATAGCCACCATATGTCAAGTACTGAAGTCCAGTCTCCACTCCCTGGCTCCATGGCCTCATGCGTGTCGTTCAGACTTGCCAAAGCTCTGTGTGTTTTGTTTTTGTTTTTGTTTTTTAATAAAATAGGGATATACAATGTCTTCAGAGCACCGTCGGGAGGAATACAATGAGATAGCATGGCTAAGTGATGCCCAGTGCCTGGCTCACGGACTTGGCAGTTTTAAAATGCTTCTAGTTTTTAACATATATTATCATATTTTATCTTCAAACCACCCTTGTGATATGTTATGATTCTTTTAGATAAGGGCCCTCAGGCTTGGATGAGTTAAGTGACTGCCCAGGCTCCCACACAGAGTTAGGCGCAAAGCTGGGATTCAAACCCAGGTCTGCCTCCCCTCACAGCCCGTTCTCTTTCCGTTCACTGGTATCAGAAATGGGCCGTAACAAAGTTCAGTTGGGAAAAACAATCCGACATACTAGAGACAGGTATCACCCGAGCTGGAGACGCCGATGGAATCCTGGAGAGAAACTTTCTGGCTACAGCCAAGTGGACCAGTCGTGTTGTCCCCTGAGCCCCAGGCTCCTTCCTCACGCAGTTCCTCCCGCCACTTCCTCCCCTGGAGCACCTCTCAAAGTCTGACCTGTCCTTGGAAACGTGAATGAGACAGGTTACAAGCCAGGCTGTGCTGTGTGGCCCCACTTGTTTTATCAGGGGTCTGTGTGTATGCTTGCGTGTGAAACAGAACACTGCATGCAAACAGATGAGGTAAATAGGATAAAAAGTTAACAATTGTTCTTTCCACTGAAAGGGTCTTGGATTTCTACTGATTTCTATTTTCTCTATTTTTTCCAAATCAAAAAAAAAAAAAAATGCACATGTATTACTTTTGCAAACAGAAAACGAGGTTATTTTTAAAACCCCTGACCATCTCGTCAAGGCCAGCTTAAGTGCCACCTCCTGTCTGGAGCTATGATGTCCCCTGGTGTGTGCCTTGCAGGGTCCCAGCAATGCAGTTGTCTTTGCCCCTGTAAATCATCCGGAGCAGAGAGGCCGCCCCGCTTGCCTGCTTCCTGCGGCAGGTCCCGGAGAGCAGAATTGCCCCGCGGCCTCCACGCCCGCCAGGGCAGCCCCAGGCAGCCTTCACCACGCAGCTCCTGCAACTGAGTTTCTTGAGCTCTTAGCCTCTGCGTTAAGTTCATTTCTCTTAATCCTCCCAAACACCTTTCAAGGTAGCCGTCATTATTATCCTCAGTTTAAGGACAAGAAACTGTCTTGAAGCTTAGGCAGGATTGCCAGGTTGTCAAACAGCGCCCTCCAGCACCTTCGCTCCACTCACGGCACCCAATGAGGACCTGTGTGGCAGCTACCTTGCTTCTGGGAAGGTGACATGATCTTTCAGGTCTCTTGCCTTCTCTACCCTACCCCCCAACCCCCAGCTTTGTCCCATCTTCCCTGCCATCCGGTTCCCATGTCAGGTCAGCTCATTTATGGCTTCTTCCAGAAGCCTTCTCTGACAGGCCCTGCTTTTTCATGCAGCTTGGGTCGGCTGGCTCTTCTATGCCCACCCGTGTCTCAGTATTTATCACTTCTCATTGAACTTGGCCTCTCTCATCTCTGTTTTTCTCTTTACCCAATCAGATTCAAGGACAAGCATTTATTATTATTTTTTTTAATCCCCAGTGTCTAGCTGGCACAAATTGGGTATTCAATGAATATTTATTGAATTAATATGATCCTTACAATAGCTCTATAAAATGACCATTTTACAAAAGAAGAAAAATGAAGCCACGAGTTGCTCAGGAATGGCCAGTAAGTTTTTGAATTGATTCTGGAACGTAGGTCTTTGACATCTAGTCCAGGTTGGCTAAAATGCTAAAATTTAAAGAAGCAGGAGGAAAAAGAAAAACAACCCAGCCAGTTCTAGGGGGAAGAGAAATGTTAATCATGTTCCTGCATAAGCTAGGCAGAGGTATATTAAGGTTGTTTATATACTTTTCCTCGTTTTTTATTTTATTTTTTTTAATCATACATTTTAAGATACTTTTCTTTCTTTTCGATTATTTCCTTAGTATAATTTCTAGGAGTTGCGGTCTGGAGCCAAAGGACTGGATATTTTAGATGGCTCTCAAGATTATTGCCAGTTGCTTACTGCAAATATTCTACCAGTTAACACTACCTTTGGAGAAGTATGAGACTGTCAATTTTACCATTTATGCACCAGCATTGGCGGTGGGGGGGGTGGTATCATTATTTAAAATTTTTGTTACTTTCAGAGATGTAGTTGTGCCTCATTATTTTCTTTCAAGTTCTTTGTGAATAACTGAGCTTGAGTATTTCTTCATGTCTGTTTACCTGCATTCTTGTAAGATGTGTGTGTTCATGCTCCTTATTGTGCTATTTAATTTTTTTTAAAGATTGTTAAAGACATTTGTGGAAAGCAGGCTCTTCCATTTAGGTGCCATTTGGAAGGTCCAGGTAGGAGGGAAAATGAAGATGACTAAGATACCACCCCTGCCTTCTTCAGTAGGTACTTCCTAAGTAGGGTACCCAAGTCAGTGAGATGCATATGTACGGAAATAATGATCCAGGTGGCTAAACTGGTTCAACCGAGAGACAAGTAATGGGATGTAGAAGAACAGTAAAGATCAGTGATTCCTGACTTGGATAGTATCAGGGAAGGCTTCAAAGAGGTGGTGTCATTTATTCTAGGCTGGAAAGGATGAGAAACCTTTAGAAGAAACTCTGGGTTGACAGAGCAGGATAAACAGGTATCATGCTTATGCTGTATTGGGATATTTTGCCCCTGAGAACATTTGCTGTGAGTGTTTTATCAATTAGGGTGGTTTTGCTGGTGGGGAAATGAATACCCAATAAAAAGAAGTTTTTATTAACTACGAAAAATTTATTTGCTCACAAAACAAAGAGGCAGTTCTTTTTAGGGTTGATTAATCAGAGGCGCAACCTGACATTCAGAACCCCCGTTTGTCTCCCTTTTCCTCTCTGCCTACCTCGGCTTTACCTCTGTCCTCAGGCTGCTCTTTTCCGAGTTGAAAATTTGCCACCTCACTTCAGTTATCATGTCCTCTCAGCCATGTTCAAAAGCAGGCCAGGCCAGAGTCTCTCCATCCCTCCTTCCCTCCCTCCGTCCCTCCCTCCCTCAAACAACAGACATTTATTTTTTCAATTTTGGAGGCCAGAAGTTCAAAATCATGGCCCCCATTTCTTTTCATTAGGGGAAAATAACTTTCCCAGAAGACCTCAGAGAGCTGCTTCTTCAGTGTGATAGGCCGGCACCACATCATGTATACCCTATCTGATCCATCAGTGGCTAGAGCACATAAAATTGCCGTGATTTAAACATCATTCACTTCTCTAGGATTTGTGAGGGGATCACCTCCCTGAACACGTGGTCCTCTCTAAATTGGGCTTCTGTTAATGAGGAAGAGGGTATAGGTACATGTAGTCGTTGAATAAGCAACAACAGTATCCGCCACCGTGTTTATGAGTAGACATTTTAATCCGAATTATCTCAATATTGATAAATTTTCATCAAGAAAATATTTTCTGAACTCAACTTTATTAAGCTAATTTATTGTAAATCGTTTTTTAATACAGGATATTTCACTTTCTTCCATTTTCATTTTTATTTTACTTAGATTATCTTCATAGGTACAAATTCTTTTCCATATAAATTTTACATCACAGATTTATTTCATCGATTGTTTACATTCTTATTAAATTTTGTTGATTATGTTTGTAGGTTTTGACATTATTAATTTGGGGAGGACTATTATATGTACCAGTCTTCTTGGATCAAATTCTGTGGATCAAGAAATTTTATTCGTATTGACTGTTTTTATCAAAAATCCTCATTAGGAATTGGATGAGACTAATTACAATGTATTTTTCAGTTTATGCATGATAAAATGGTGAGCACTTCTTAGGTATGTAAAGATTCATCTGTTTTTTAGAGCACTATATTGCAGAGGTCAATAAACTAAAACCCCACAGATCAAATCTGGCCTGATGCCTCTTTTTGTAGGGTTGTAAAGCGAAACATGACTTTTATAGTTGAATATTTGTCACCTATTTGATGATAGGAAATGTAAACTGTGAATCCCAGTTAAGAAAAATGTTGCCCGCTACCGCAAAATAATTTCATTTTCATTAATAGACCTGTATTACCAAAATTGTACTCAAATTACTATTATTATATTTTGAATTTTGTCTTTAAAATTTTGTGAATTTGGTGGGGTTTTTTAACACAAATATTATATAATATTATAGATTTTGCCTCTTGGCTCCAAAACCCAAAAATACGTACTGTCTGGCCCTTTACAGTAAAGTTTGCCAACTCCTGCTCTATTGCATTGCTGACCTGATTCTTTTGAACACTTAAAGTCTCCCTACTCCACACTAACTGGTCCACTGGCGTTACAAGGAACAAATGGGGAGTGAGGTCAGTATGTTCTTTGTGTCAAAATTATAGAGTCAAATACCCACCTTCAGATGGGAAAATAGCAAGTTGGGTGAGTCCAGCCATGCTGTCGTGAAGAGAGAGAGCTCTGCAAGCTGTAACATATTATGTCAAATGAAAACACAAATTGATGTAAGTTTTCTGTAAAAGTACATCCCACCCCTTTTTTTTGGTATTAAAGTATAAATCTAACATGTTGGAAAAGCCAAAACATCATCGCTCTCAGAGTATCCGCATTTGAGGGACACGTAGTGTTTTGAAACTTGGGAGAGCTGGAAGGCGTTTTCCTT